TAAAGAAAGGTCAAGACGCGTATGCCTATCCTCATTACAGCGTTCAATCGTGGAGGAGCGTGACCGGCAAGGCGTATTCTCGCGACGATGAAGCCTCGATGCTCAAGCAGTCGTTTTATGATCGCTTCTGTGAGCTTCTGGGAGACATACGTTCCGACGTCGACGTCGACGTCGACTACGAGAGAGGTTATCTTGGGTACACAACCCGTATAGACAGTGGGCTGGAAGTGAAAACTCGGATTTCGGGCAGGGAATTCTTGGGGAGGAGCGTCCTTGAAGTCACGGTTGAGATTCTCGGAGCTGCAGGGTTTCAAGTCCATTCACGCAACTCACTCAAAGCCAAGATGTAAAGATTAACGGCCGGCCCACTAAATAGGCGTATGGATTAGTTAATATGGTCACCGTATAGATAGAAAGTCACTCGTGAATAAAAAGCAAAGGCCGGTTTCGAGTTTAGATTTAAGGCTATATTCATAAGGAAGCTGATAACTAGGGGTTTGTGCTTAATGATCTAAAGGGAAAGCTGCTGCTTCAACTATAACCTGCCTGCGAAGAGCAGTGCATGATTCCAGATAGATAGTTATGAACGTAAAATGGCCCGCGAGCTTTTTTTACAAGAATTATGGGAATAGTGGCGGTGTGGAAATACTAGTAATGTCTCATTCCTAAGTAAAAAAAGATGGTATCGCTAGGTCAGCCACAAACACGCTATTAACAAGCTGCTGCTGCTGCTGCAAAAAAAAAAAAAGCCATAAGCGAGAACACAGCTACATGGTGGCAATGCTGAAAAAGAATCACACGGCATCGCCTGACGCCCAGGCTTTTGTCTCAATATCAAGCTCCTTCGAGTAATCTCCAAACTCTTTGAAGACGGAATGCACCATGTTATTATACCGCTCCTGCCACCTAAACCCCTCGAAGAGCGACTTGGTGTAATCCCAATAGTCGGGATAGAATCCCGCGGTCGCCCAGTCGACAATGCCCGTCACCCTCCAGCCCTTGGCTCCGTCCCGGCCGCTGACCTGCTCGACGAGAATGTTGCGGGGGTTGAGATCTGCATGGGTGAACACGATCTTGTGTCCCCGGCGACTTGGGTCGTCTGAGTATCGGAAGTTCTGGCTGAAGGCCGCCTCGTCCGCAAAGGGCCCGACGGCCACGCCACCTCTGACGCGAGGGTCCACGATTGGCCCACCGAGAGTGTTGCAGATAGGCATGTCTGAACCAATTGTGTTTGGGATGGCCCGCATCTGGGTCAGGTAGTCCTTCATCTGAATGGAAATTGCCTCGAGGTCGCCGTCGGACAGGACATATTGGCAGCGGTTTAGACTCACGCCAGGTACTTGGGTCATGAGGAGATAAGCTTTCTCGCGGGAAGTAGAGACGACTAAGTCAAGTGGCTCTGGAACCGGGACTGACGTGTGCTTGCGGACCATCTGCAGCGCGTTGAACTCGTTGCGAGTCGAGTCCAGCTCTCCCATGTCCTTTAGGTACAGGCCAAATGGCAGCTTCTGGACGGTCCTCTCGGTGGAGAAGACGTTGCGTTGTCCGTAAAGACGACTTCCGAGCTTCCGTAACATGTCATAGGCAGCCATTCGGACGGTGCTTGGGAACATGGACCAGACTTTGAAGAAGATGCGAGTAAAAGGACGGGTGGGAGAGAGCGTGCTGAGCGGGGCCACAGGTACTGCTGCTGGCTTGAACGCGGAATGGGATATCCGAGAAAGGGGCGCTGAAGAAGTATAAACTCCCGGTGCAACATCTCTGGCGATGTCCAACAGTCGAATGCTCCTGCTAAGCCGAGCATGAGAACCCACGAAGCGTGCGTCTACCGTTTTGATGCCTGACCGTGAATGGTCACCCAGTAGCGGATACATGCCATCGACTTCGACGAAGTCCACCGGTTCAACAAGAACGGGCTGAATCTCGTACTGTTTTGTATGTTAGAGGCAAGGTTACAGTCAAGGTTGGTCCGCGTAGCATGACGGGAGGAGTTCACACTAAATTGCGACTCACCTCGATCATTGAGCTCTGCAGCCTTTGCAGCTTGACAAACCCCTGTGCGAAAGCCGTCGCTGCAGACTTCCGGACGAGCCAGTGGTTGTGATGAGAAGGCGTACGCTCTGGCTCCTTCACATAAGAAAACCACCAGTCACGGTAGCCGGGGCTAAAGAAAGCATCAAGCATGTCAGGTATTCGGGGATTCTACATGTTCAACCGTCAGCCTCTATGGAATGGGTTCCTTGATGCTGACGAACATACCTCGCCTGTGACCCAGCGTTCCGGAACCGGAAGAACGGGTAACACGACGAGAGGATCATGGCGTGTGCCGGCTTTTCCCGTTATGCAACATTTCCCACCATCCCTTCGGGTAATCTCCAGCAGGTCCCGCGGACCTGGTGGTGGTGGAGGACAGCTTTTGGTAGTGACTATGGTCATGGTAAATAAGAGACAAGTGTAGCGGGAAGGCCTGAGGGAACACTAACTAGACTCAATGATGTAGATCCAGTCAAACACCAGTGACCGAGCAGCATCTGCTGAAGCATCACTTGATAAAGTATCCCCTGCTGAAGAATCACCTCCTGATAGTCTCTCAACCACATAACTGGCTGCAGACTGCGGATCGAGGGCCCCCACGATGAATGATCTGAGTAGTTCAGTTCCAGGGTATGGCAAATTGATACTCTCGACGCGCGACAACACTCTTCTGGTTTCAGGCTGAATGGGGCCCATTTTGACTACCAGACCTATTGGAATGATTGGTTGTGCAAAGAATGAAGGAACGTGTTGTTGTAAAAAGTAAAAAGATTGTGAAAAGAACGCGCGAACCTGGTTGTCGTAAAGAGGCTCGTCGTACGAAGGTCCCTACCAAAAGAGAATTGGCTCACCGCTTTCCGCACGGACTTCTCTTGTCACTGGAGCTACAGCGACTCTACTCACTAACTATTTGACTGTTAGCGCTCGAAGTGCAGAGTCACAGTGATGTATGTGCACTGATGACTGATAGTGAATATGTCCGCTATCCCCCAGTGCGCCAATTCTGCCGGACAAAAAGGGCGGTGGGCCAATTCTTTTGGTAGGGTCCTCCGTAAAAAGGGAAACATTGCGCTGCCGAAAGGGTGGACGTGGAGCAAATCCGTTGGACTCCACTAAAGACGCTAAAATTAATCGCTGCCGCGCGCCTCGCACCGCTCGCCGTTCCCGTCACGGTGTCAGTGGTCACCTTGCTTGGCCGGCGGGGCGGGCCTCGGATGACCCACAAGGGATTGACCAAATACCTCATTGCCAGCCTTCTTGACGCGCGCGTAAATGTGATGATCTCACACGACCATGGTAAAGCCGAGCCGCGCCTCCTACAACAGCTCGTAATGCACCAGAAAAGCTTTCCTCTTTCTCCCGCGCGCGTGACAAAACGATCCAGTACAATGGAATCGAATCGGCCGCAACGCAAAAGCGCCAGCTCCGCAGTCATGTCCTGACCATATGGTGTTCATGGCGCCGACCACCCCGTCGAGAGCCATGGCCCAATTGTTGCTGATCCATGCACAATTATCTGAGACCATCTAGGTCTCTATCGAAAGACCCAGGCGGCAGGAGCTGTGGTTGAGAAGGAGTTCCTGATGGTGATACTCGGGTATATATTCGCTGTCCTATCTCCATGACTTGAGCACAAAAATTCAATCCAGAACTCCAAGCAAGGCATATCTCTCTTTCTGACTCTCATAATTTCAAACTTCTCCGCTAGGCCCTTCACACCATTGCCTCACGCCTCACACCCTCTCAATCCGAATCAGCCCATTTCTAGCCCCCAATCCACAATCGCAGCCGCAAAAATGAGTTTGAGTGTTCCTTCCCCCAATGACATCACCGCCAAAAATGCTCTATACATCACTCTCCAGTTCATTTACGAGGACAATGGCAAGAATAAATACGTAAGTTCGTATTCGTCCTTCAGACTGTAGCGGCATCGTGTCCTAACCTGTAACAACAGCATTGGTCACTCTTTCATACCGCAAACGAGCCGCCCAAGGGAAACATGTTTCATGCCACCGACACCAACAGGAAGCCTTTAGATCTCTATACCGAAACTCGCCCAATCCGGGACCCCGTTCTGTCAAGGTCCATGGTCGTGGCCCTGATGGTCGCCCAACCGGTCACATGGGAACAGGTCAGCTTTTGCGCCAAGAGCGTCCGTCTCATGAACCCCAAATATCTTCCTCTGGGGGAGCCACGCTGGACCTGCCGGGTCTGGGTGAAGGAGGTCATCAAGGCTCTTCAAAAGAGCAACTACATCAGCCTCCCCGAATCTGTCAAGGATGTTGGTAAGTCTCGAATCCCAAAACTTGGCATTATTTGATGACTTTGCCACTCACCTTTTCTTCTTTCTGTGCAGACGACATTGAGAGAGCCTGCCAGTTACTCGCCGACTTACACATCAACTTCCAGGGGGATGCTAGGGTGTTTAACGACCCCGGCTGGTTGGCCGTTAGCGCCGCGAACCAGATGCCTGGATCCGGGGCCCCGGACCGCCGAGATGTGCCAAGGAGCATGGAAACGGACGGCTCGAGAAGTCGCTACTGGGGACCCAAGGCCATGGACACCGATGCGCACGGCAAGCGCGATGTCTTCGGTTCGAGACCCATGGACATTGACAGTCCCTACTATGGCCCCAAGCCCATGAACACCGGTTTCTAGGTCATTGCTTTTGCCTACCTATGTTTTGAACTGGCAAACCGGAGGGATCGGTGGTATTGCATTTTGGATTGTAATTCTCGGGAAGACAGACCTCGTTTTTTTTTTTGCTTTGTTATAGACTGCACGTTTTCATTGGATAGTTCAAACAGCGACACCTAACTGGCTGATTAGAAGAACACATCAGAAAGAAAGTAACTACCTACCTTTAAAAATAATACAGATTCACCTCGTCTCAAGCTAGCACAGGTCGTGTTTCTGACCTATGTCAGGGCTACGTGTAGCGAAATGATAACGTTCCTGTGCCTGAAGCCGGCGTGGCGCAATTGGTTAGCGCGTCAGACTTTTACGACGGAAACGTCAGATAAGGTATCTGAATGTTGCGAGTTCGAGTCTCGCCGTTGGCGTCGATTTTATTTTGCATTTTTGACCTTCGCTGCCTCTCTTACACATAATACGTCTTGGCTTTTTATTAGCCGAGTCATCGTTTTGTTGGTTCTATATGAGGGCCGGTATAGCTGTGATATAGGCTATTTAAGAATCTAAGACCTTATAGTAACATCCCTTTTCTAAGGGATAGATTAATTGCGATTTGCCGGAGAATAATCTCTAGCTCGGCACCAGTCTTGGCCACCGGTCATTAATCAACTTTTAACTCATCCATGTTTAGAGGGGTGGTTTCGCTCCGTAACCTCCCCCCCCCCCCCCCCTTCTTCCCTTCCCCCCCGCTTCTGTTTCTTGAGTGTATATAAATGCAGCGATCAACATACTTTCGGATTTCGTCTTTCAAGTTTCTAAATCTTTTTGCGATTTGAGAATTCAAAATGCGCGTCCTTGCATTTCTGACAACAGCACTCCTGGCCGCTCCGTTCGGTGCGCTGGCCGCCCCGGTAACCGGCACGGTGACTCACGTCCCGAGCCGGATCCGACTCGGAGTCGTCGAGGGCCGCGGGCCGGCCGTCGTGACGCCACCCCCTTGCCAGCCCATGACCCCGGCGCCGACCGAAGACGAGACAAAAGCGCGGTTCGAGAAGTTTGCGCACGCGTTTCTGGAGACCAAGAACCTCACCGAAGCGTTCTCGTACATCTCCTCTACGTACAAGGTAAAATTAAATTACCCACCTCTCGCGTGGCGTGTGGCATTTGGGAAAGGTGTCACTGGATGCAAGTGTGCTAAGAGACAAGAATCACAACCCAATGGCTAAAGACGGACCCGCTTCGGCGCTGGACATCCTCGGACCCGTCTGGCCGACCGTCACCATCACACCGCTCCGCAGGACGTTCAAGGGCAACATGGGCTGGCTGGACTACCGCGCCAGCGGGCTGGGGGAGGTGGTGGATCGGTATCGATGGGAGGCCGGGTGTATCGTTGAGCACGTACGTCTCCTTCCCAGCCCGGTGAATGATGACATGGATGGGATATTACGGTACTAATGCATTGGGTTTTGCAGTGGGACCAGGGGGAGAAGTATCCTACCACGACGTCGAGGTAAAAAGGGTTACCTGTAGGTGAAGTTGTGTGTATACCTAGGTTAATTACGAAAAGGAGAAGCTGCGATTTCTTTGGGATGACAATGTTTCCATTTGGTAATTATCATGTTGGTTTACAATTAATCATTTTATGAAGATAATTTTCCGAAGGCAAAAAGGATCCAGTTGATGCCTACCTATCCATCGTTTCAATCCATGTAGAGTCTGACGAGAGAAGTCCTTCGTATGAGTTCAAATTGAGCCCTAAAGGAGTTGTAAGTTTCTAAACGGGAGTATCCGGGAAAGCCCTGGTGTTGTACCGGCTTGAATTGGAGGAGGTTGTTTGGATGAAGAGCTGTACATTTGCGCAGCTCCCTTGCTCCTTCCGTTTTCTACCACCAGATTATTTGAAGGGTCTTGAGCGATGAAAGTGATAGGCCAGTGTAAGTCGCACTTGGCCCCCACTTTTAAAGGATGCCAGTAGGATCGAAGCTAGCGCACAAGTTGCGGCAGATCACCCATAAGCCGGCACCACACGGCAGTGAACACGAGAGTTTCTTTTGTATGTATTTACAATCGCATCCACTCCATTTTATTACCGCGATAGGTCCCATCAAACTGGATGGGCTCAATATATTCCTGGGGCTGGCGCGCTCCTGATCATGGTAATACGAGCTTTTTCTGACAGGCCAGTTTATTTTAGGTTGCACGATACTACGTGCAACTTTTAGTCCAGTAAATTTACTGGTCACCACCAGGTTACTAGGCACCTGTCAGAATCGCCTCCCAAACTGCCAACAGGTGACTCTTCCGTGGATGTGCTTCGTATCGTCATACTCTCCCGATTCCATGTAACACGAGATGCACGCACAAACCGAGTCACCTTTTTCTCTCGAGTATAACTAATAGTCCTGGTTTGCACTTGTTCAAACGATCTGACCATCGACAAGTCAATCGCAAACTCAATTACCTCCTTACCTTACATTTCTCAAAATGAAGTTCACACTCATTCCATTTCTGGCACTCGCTGCTGCTGCATCACCTCTCCAACCACGGGTGGTGATCCCGATAAACACCTTCAACGTGACCAATTTCGCAGCCTACAGCGTTCCGCATTCGTCATGGAGCTAGCAAGCCTTCCATCCCCCCAACTCTATCTGTGTTGATGCTAATACGTTGGTAGTGTGAACTTTAATATCTCCGTCACTACAATAGAGAAACCGACAGGCTGCGCGGCATCTGTGCTCAGCTACCAGCGGGTCGGCGACGTGCCGGATACCAACTGCAGCGAACCCACCGTCGCGTTCAACTTTACCCGCACGCCGGGCAGCAGCGGTGCGGTGTTGAATGTGCACTGGTACTTTGCTGACCCCGGCGAGTTCCTGGGGACGTACAACATCCCCGCCGACGAGATGGTGCTGGATGGGATTGGGACCAGCGTCAAGGAGGCCTATACCGGTCCCACGAGCTTCATCATTCGGAATATCACGCTTGTGAAGTCGCATCTGGGGCCGTAGGGATCATTGTGTAGGGTGAAAGTTAGCATGAGAAGTTGTGCTGCATTGATATAGTTGTAACGATGGTGGTGGTGGTGGCGGTGATGGTAATATTAATAATAGACATGTATTATTTTTTTTAAAAAAAAAATTTCATTCGTTATTCAAATTTTCTCATGCACTTTGCGTCTGATGGTTAGCGCTCGAATGAAAGACGCAAAAGGTAGGTAGCCACTAGGCGCACCGCGAGACAACACTCGTTCCAAGTAGTCGTGAATGCAGGCAAGCCTGGCAAGCTGCTCATTCACCCACGGAAAGAATTTGCCGAAGAACGAAACCACCATTGGGGTCCTAGGTTGTTATATCTCCTCTTTGTTGTATTTATACCCACGCCCAACATACAAGTTGCTGTAAAGCTGAAAGCGGTAAAGGGCACGCTGGATGCGGAATTCCTCGTCCTCCGAAACGCTGGTATACAGTCCCGCCGCTGAAGGCCGAGCTGCCCCGGGACGAGCGGCAGCATGTCCTGGACGAGAGCTCTGGTGAAATGCTGGACGATGATGTGTTGTCCTACTCAAATCACTAGCGACGGAAGGGTCTACCTTCAACCACTCCGAGTCCGAGTGCTCAATATACGTGTATTGGAGTAGCGGGCTTCTTTCGCCGAACTCAATACGATCCAGGGCGAGCTCTGCCAATAATTCGCCGACTTGCTCTAAGTTGCCAGAGTCAATACAGTCACCGTATGGACGCATCGCCTTCACGCAATGACACGGCTCTAGAGTCTTCCGAATCTCAAGACGCTGCCTTTCAGGCAAAGAAGGCCTATACCGTGACCGCCAAGCTAAAGAAGTTTGCTTCGCTAAGGCACAAGGACACTGGCAAGGCCAGAGGTCCTAACGCCGCAAACGGGAGGAAACAAGGGTTCCAGGCGAATTTTACCATTGACGAACGTGGGTTTATTCGCTTTCATCCCCCGCAGCAAGATGTTGACTTTCGAGCAGATGATGAACTTCGCAAACTTATGCGTCAGGCCTACGAGCACAAAAACCGGTTAGTCAATCCCATCGGGTCATGCACACCTTAGTATTGAGAGGGATGAATACTAAAAGCTTCTAATAGGGAGGCATGGGCTCCTGGAACTCCAATTCGGATACCTCTTCGCGCTGAGGCCGTTATGGCGGCGCGCGTGGATAGTTTGTAACATTAGGATCTGCTTTGGTATTTTTTTTTCTTTTCCCTTTTCCCTTCTACTTTCTGCTTTCCCCAATACAGTCGTTTATCAATGTCCATCTAACCCAGTCCTAACCTTGAGTGTACAACCTGCCTGCGTGTAAGAGTAAGGCATCCGGTGATTACCAAAACAAACAATCATCAGTAATTTAACAGCAGCCCTTTTGTCCAGATGCCGTCGTTGATCCTCATTCGCGATAGACCGGGTTCTCTAGTTGCTCATACATAATAAGAAACGCATAAAGCAACGCCCATTTCAATAGATCCCGCCTCCTCGATGATAACTACAGGTACTAATCAACAAATAAAGCTGCCCCTGCGTCAATGATCGATGAGTGTAACTTCGACAAGTAGCTTACCCACTTGGAAATATCGAATGCTTTTGCTTACCCACTTGGAAATATCGAATGCTTTTCATATCTCATTAAGAGCTAATGCAACAGAACCGTGCAGCCAACCCGAACCACCGATGATGACTCCGGTGGAAGTCCGCGATCCCGGCTCCGAGAAATGCAAGACTACAGTAACTATATAATCAATCCCAAATAATAATAACAATCAAAGACGGCAGTTTATTGCTCATCCCGCGACATCTTGTGCATTTCCGGCAGAAGCTGGGCGGTTATTTGGGCCTCCACCGCGCTGGATTCTCGCGATTAGTAACTCACATTTCGCCTTGAATGAGTAATATCAACAAACTTTGGTGGACATTGGTGCTTACTCTTCCTCTTGCGCATGATACCGGCTCTCATAAGTCTGCTGCTGCTGCTGCTGCTGCTGCTCCTGCTGTGGTTGTTGTTGCGGTTGTTGTTGCGGTTCTTGTTGTTGTCGTTTGCGTTGCTGTGGACTTCTATGCTCCTGCTGTTGCTGCTGATATTGTGTCTGTTGTGTCTGTTGTTGCTGATAGTCCGGATATTGTTGTTGGTGTTGTTGTGCCCGATGCTGGTGTCCAAACCCCGTCTCCGCTCCCGAGAAAGCTGACGATCCTACTTCCCCCTGTGCCTCTCCTGACTGAACCCCATTTTCTGTCTCCTGCCCCGGAGCCCCATTTTCTGCTGGCATCTGTTGCGGTGGAGTCAAAGTGTTTGTAGCAGCTGCTGCTGCATCAAGCTCCTCCTTGGCCTTCCTTTTCCTGTTCGGTTTCGGTCCCGTGTACAGCGAACACGCAGACGTGTTATCAAACCATTTGCAGTTGGAACAGCTGTTAT